GCTATTCTCGAAACGTTCGTAGCACTACGAACTGTTTACCCCCATTCTTAACACATTGGCTACGATCAAAGTTAAGAATTCTTAGGGCTACGAACGTTTCGAGAATAAGTTCAGGGATCAGTCATGTCATTTGACTTGTCCATAACAATCTATATTTGAAAGGTATTACTTAGTGCCATGTGTTCTGTATTTGACAAAGAATGTTCATGGTGAACCTTTGTTATAAAACAATTGGTCGGTAAAGTGAAGGGACTTTAGGGCCATGGACCAGTGAACCTGCAGATCAAGCTACAGCTCTATACAACAACATAATTTCATTGTAAAGTATTCGTTGTGACCTTAAAAGGGAAACTATATATATCGTACTTATCCATGCTAAACAATGCTATATATAATGGACTGAAATGTTCATCCAGACCAAAGACGTTTGGCTGAATTTAGATTGCTTTCAGAAGACTCTGGTAATGACATAGGTGTCAAGGATCAACACGATCACATCAAGGAGAGTACAAAGTAAGCATTTGATAGGAAAATAAATCTCTCCAGGGACATCAGATTTCTATTTGCACCCCCTCTCAGGTCTCAGGGTTACTACCATGTAACAAGTACTATCTACTGCAGGTACTTGTGGCTTCTCTTAACAAGGGAAGACTGCAAACCGACACATTCTACTGTAATGGTTGTGGTTTGATAACTATAACTCGGATGAATATTCTGTATAATTAATAACCAAGCAGGATCAAAGTCCAGTAGACATGTTATTAAGATAAAACTGTTCAAGAAAGATTATAAACGCGGGACGAGCTCCAATTTTTTGCCAAGCAAAATGTTTGGCAAACTGTTATCATCACCCTCTGAAGACAAAATGCCGCTACTTGTCACATGGCAATGCTCTGTGCTGGTTCTGTTAGAGTAACAGTTGTTGTTTCTTTTCGAGTAACAGTTGTTGCTGGCATTATTTAAGTTTTTTAATCTTTGCAAACACAGAAAATCAAGGAATATGCTAGAAAACACTTCTTTGGCCAACTGGATAAGTCATATGTTAATTTTATTGACAAGTTGGAAATATTGGTATGAACATTATCAAGTGTGTTCAAATGCCTGACAAATAACACTTCTTTGTAACACTTACTAGTTTAAAAAGGCTGTATTTGCCAGAACTTTTAATAAAAATCGAACTATGACCAAGTCTTTGATGAAGAATTACTTGTACCAATGTGTATAATATCTGCACCAGATTCACCTACTAAAATCAGCTTAGGTCTTCCCACCTAAAAACAACCTTTCAGACACACCACCTCAGCCTCACCAACATAATCATTTAGGATTCTAAGAAATCCAAAGGTTCAAGTGTTGAAATGCCAAGTCTAATGCTCATTTATATGAACACATCCAAAATCCTTAATAACAAATTATAAATGTCTTGCACATTTATTAATTATGCAGATCCTTTGGGCCAACATGTCATCTTGTCTTTCTACCAACTGAAATATCTCTCCATAAGTGATATGTATATGAACAATTTTATTATTGCGCTGAAATGTAACCTGCTTGCAAAGATGACCCTGTTATTAATCATATACACATGGAGGTTCTTGTGGAGTCCCAACAGTTCTGTTGAGACAGCTTAAAACAAACACACCAAAGTTGAAATACCACTGTGATAAATGCTTCACTCCATTCTTTCTCCAAAGAAGCTCCATGGTGAAGTGCTTATTTCTAGCACTGGTTTTGATGATGACAAGGTGCAGTGTGTTTAATTTGAAATGTATTGAACATCGATGGTATTTTCTGACTACTGCTCAAACAACAGTATTCAAACCTAGAACATAACATAAATAATACACCTGAAAACAGGCAAAACAAATAAAATCGGAACAAAGACAATTGTCACTTTAAAATAATTCTTTATACAATGTCACATATATGTACAACATACACATTTGCTTTGCCACATACAACTATACATATTTGCTGCACAAACAAATGCATCAACTATACAATATATATATCTTAAAACTTAAGAAAATACAAATTATTTCCGTAAAATTTCATGGACACAGTCATAACACCTATCAACCATTTATACAACATACCTATCGGGTACCCCTCAACTAACCAGCATAACAATCACTGCCCATCAGTACCTTAATACAGAGCCATGTAACAGGATGGTAGAGATTATTTTCTACAATTGCTTTAAGCCCAACAAAAAGGCATGTGTTTAACAATGGGGAACAAAATTCTTAACAAGTTGACCTAAAACCAATCACCTATACTACATTGAAGAAGTTATGGACACCCGTTTCTCTCATATTACCATAGCTATAATAAGGATGATCCCTAACATCTCTCAGTAGTACACATTTCTGAAACTGATTTTGGTGGGATATTAAACCACAGTGACTTTGTCGGGAGCATAAAAACATAAAATCATATGGTTTGCTCCACGAAATCTGGCATAAACTATCATGATATACATTGTATTTCATTGGTGACCTTATTGGACAGTCTGAGTATCCGAGGCTAACAATTATGTTTTAATATTTTCATGTCCGTAAAGCTGTAAATATTTATATACCAGAGGTGACCATCTCACGACATCACAGATGACACAAAATTTTGTTTTGTCAAGTCATTTCCTTCAGATCTTGAACATATCTGATATAAATATTTAGCCTTGCATACTAAAGCAAGAAAACTTGATTTTCGTATTTCACTGACGAGTCAAAATAACAAAAATGTTGTATTGCTTGCTTACTGCAATCCTCAACTTATCAAACTCTTTTTCTTTAATCCAATCCAACATGTTCAAAACCTTAAGATAAAAACTTCAAACAAACAAACAAACAACTTTTTTTGGTATCAAATAGCATAGTAAAATAATTTCTTTTATAGCGGACTGTTTCTGCCCCAAAAGAAATAGCGGTACAATTGTCCATGCCCAGAGATTGTTTGATAAATGTCAGTACAAAAACAAATGTAAGGTGATGTTAGACGTGTACAAAACCTGTATAAATGTGGTTAAGTTATTCTGTGAATGATTGTGAAAGTGTTTTCTTGTAGAATCAACATTTCTGTTACACAATCTCAACACCACATAACTGATGCTGTTTTGATACAGCCAAACTTTCAGTTTGACATTTCTGTAACCATCAGATCTTCAAGACAGGTTATTCTGACAGATGTTAGAACAAGGAACACAACACTGATTTCTTTGCATTACAAAACTAACAGTTGCACAAAGCCATATTGCAAAGTTAAACACAAATATCAAAATGGTTTCACCCTTTATCTTCTTGAAAGAAGGTTTTGTGTCATATTTGATATTGAGAAATAGTACTTCCTACAAGCAAACACAATATATGAAAACAGACTCCAAAGTCCTATGAAGTTGATTAGCAAAGTTCTGAATAGTCAATCCAAAACATTGAGATAAGTAATGCTACTTTGTTCAATCAAAGGCTTGTTCCAGAGTCTTTACAATATGGTTAGTTCAGATTACCAGAATTTGCATAAGTGAATGCGTTAAATAAGTGGAATAGAGAGAATGCCCAGTGCAAGGTAAGACAATATAAACGACCATCAGCAGTTATAGTACTGACAGTCTGTGACCATGGCAGGTGCTTGCTACAACTTCTGCAGAAGTGTGGTGGTGTAAGGAAGGTTAAGGTTAAAAGAAAATAAAGTTGATAATACATTATTACAATATGATTTGGTTTTGAATCAGGAATCTTGGAAAGAAGAAATTGAAAAAAAAGGAAGTCTCGGAGCAAGTCTTGACTCTACAGAGTGTGAGTGAGTGAGTTTAGTTTTATGCCGCACTCAGCAATATTCCAGCTATATGGCGGCGGTCTGTAAATAATAGAGTCTGGACCAGACAATCCAGTGATCAACAGCATGAGCATCGATCTGTGAATTTGGGAACCGATGACATGTGTCAACCAAGTCAGCGAGCCTGACCACCCGATCCCGTTAGTCGCCTCTTACGACAAGCATGGGTTACTGAAGGCCAATATTCGAACCCGGACCTTCACAGGTTAATCCCTGGTATAACTGAGAGTAATGTGTGAAAATAACACAACAGAGTCATAGAGTTTGTTACAGATGCTGGACAACACTAAGTGTTCTGCATCCTTTGCTGGTATAGAAATGTACCAAACAGAGCTTTCCCCATCAAGGCTTCTCAAGGCTGAACTGAATAAATTCACTGATGGTACCATGCTACATTTTATAGTTAGCAGAGTGCCATTGTACAAAACTAAGACCTCACTAAGTCCATGTTAAGGTATGGGAGTTGTGATCACCTTACAGGTAGCAAAATCTAATGTTCTTTTCAGTGTCTTTGTAAGACCTTTGCAAGGAAAGACTGACTGACTGAGTTTAGTTTTACGCTGCTTTTAGCAATATTCCAGCAATATCACGGCGGGGGACACCAGAAATGGGCTTAACACATTGTGCCCATGTGGGGAATCGAACCCGGTCTTCGGCGTGATGAGCCAACGCTTTAACCACTTGGCTACCCCACGGCCCCTGCAAGGAAAGAACAGTACAACAACCTTACAGAAAATGGTTGGCAAGTTTTATGAAATGTAAAGTTATGGGTACTGTTGTACAAAACAACCTTACTCCTGTCACTATCATAAGTCTATTTAGGTATGGTCGAAATGACCACCTTAGCACTAAGATTGCTTTGTACAACAGCATGGAGGAGGCTAAAACTTTAGTTTCAATTTCTTTTTTCCAAGTTTTGGGACAAACCATTTGAGACATTTAGCTAGGCCAGTGTTCACGAATAGCATCTGACCCTCTGACAAATCCGGCAGATTCGCCAACGGTCCAATAGAAGTCTACAACCCGGCGGCCCCAGTGTCTGACTGTATATTTCCCAATGACTTTGACTGAAGTTGTTATATGTGACCTGTGACACTTGTTTGCTGTTTATTAATCTTATGTTTGTTAATAATTTCAATGCCAGTTATAAGAAATGTTAAATCTGAAACGTGTGTTTAATTTTATTCTATGGGTTCTGTGAATTTTCAATGGGTCAGAAACTTACAGGACCCAATGTCCTGTTACTTTGAAACACCATTCGTGAACACTGCTTTTCTTCCACTTTTGTCAAGGAGACATGGCAGAACTTGTCCAAAACCGCTTCTTCAACACACCTCATGTTAGTATATTATGATACAGATGTCCGGTTTGTCCAATAACAACACTGAAATTGCATAATAAAAGCTGATAACTCTACATGAAAATAAAATTTGAAAGACAACAAACTTTCATCACATCATTATCCAACACGCTGGGTTGAACATTTCAAAATGTTTCATAAATAAGTTATCACAAACAAGTGGAGAGCGAGTGAGTGAGTGAATGAGTGAAGTTTGTCTGTCCGTGTCCACATAATGCAATCCAGCTGCATACCATCTTCCTCACTCCGGTCTGAGTATTGCAGGCAAGCATCCAGAGCCCCTAGGATTGTCTTGGTACAAACATGGGTATATTCCAGGCCCAAACTGACCTTCTGAGGGAGAGTTCTGTGAAACATTGTGAACTGTACCTCCCATTGTGATTTCTACTGTTAAGACTGAGCTAGCTTACCTGTATTCAATTATTTAGAAATGCTGATTGGTTGAAACTGAAGTAGTCAATTATTATCATTTTTCACTTTTGACAAAAACCAATGATACGTGAAATTCTCTTATGAAAAATGAACCAATAAATTCAAACAATTCTGAAAGTTTGTGAACCAAATAGTCGAGTTGTAAAATATTTCCAGATGAATTATTGGCAATCATTCACTTTTGAAAGTGTAATTCTTCCTTTTTGATTTTATTTGAAATATATCAATTTTGAACAAAAAGCTGTATCTTTTGTGACTGACTGCACCAAGGAGCTCTGAATGTCTTGTATAACCTTGACAACATTTGGCACTTGTACGAGGAGCGTGTTTGGTGGGGCAGCATGCACGTGCATGCACACACACGCATTCTTGGGGTGGAGTGGCTACAGACAACAACAACATGCAGCATGCACCAAGTTCATAGTTCAGCCATCTGAAAAGAGACAACAGAGTCAGATAGAGATTGATAGAAGTCCAGTGACAGGAGCAGAGCATTTTACATCATACAGAACAGCAGCTAACCGTTGCATTACATACCATCAGTCTTACATACATATCAGGACAAGCCTTGTTAAATATAAATTAGGATATCATTGGATGCTTTCCATACAAAAAGTTGAATTTTTTAGGGTCCATAAGTGGGGAAGAAAAATTGGTTTTAACAAGATCATGTAGTCCCATTGTTATTCATATGGGCCCTATTCCACAAAGAAACCCCAGCTCTACGACTATCGTAAGTCTAGGTTAATGTATGGGAGTTATGATCCTCATAATGCTAGGTTGCTTTGCTGAACAGGGCCCAGATCATTTTTAAAGATTTCTCCGCATCATAATAGTGAGTGAGTTCAGTTTCACACCGTTTTTAACAATATTCCAGCAATTTCATGTGGGGGACACCAGAAATGGGCTTCACACATTGTACCCATGTGGGTAATCGAACCCAGGTCTTCAGGATGACAGGCGAATGCTTTAACCACTAGTCAACCCCACCGCCTCTGCACCATAATAAAACACAATGCTTGTTTAGATAAAATAGGAGAATTACTTATATTTCAATTATTCTATTCTACATGGTTGTCTCTGAGGCCTACCACAATGCAGACTAACTACAGTGTAAGACCATGCATGCATAACTGCCTATGTAACAGTACTTGTCAAGAGTCAGAGGAATCTTCCTACCTCGTATGACCTGACACTGCCATCTACACCGATTTTACAACCATATGTACACACAATCCACACCTAGTTTGATTATGAAGCTTTCATAAATTATCCAATGAAGAAAATATACATACGTTTGGTTATATTGACAGCATTATAAGTATAAATTGGTCATACACATCCACTGACAATTTTCCCAAATATTCCACTTTAGTTAGAACATTAAGAAGTTGTGTTGTCTCATAAACATTAATGAGAGGCTTCTTTAGACACAAATATTCATTTGTGTTTTGGGAAATTACCATCAGACCCAGAAAGGGATATAATACATGGATTATATTTCGTTGTAATATCTCATGAGGACTTTTAATGATATTGACAAGATAACTTTAACAGTGTTACACAACCCACATATGATTTCAGTCAAGATTAGGAGCAAAAATGTCACATGAAACAGAAAGAACCCATAATTCACATTCAGACACCATTTATAGGATTGATTTTCTTAAATTTCAGAATATCTTGGCTTTTGTCCAAATCAGAATGACAGATGGTAAACAGTTATTTGGGAAGTGTAAGCCTATTTTAAAATGGAAAGATAGATATCCCATAACCATCAAGCTTTAAATCCAAAAGTTTCTCTTCATTTGATGAGAACAAGTTTGGAAAAGCCTTCTACCGATATCTTCCATACCTGCCACGTAGCACAAACAATGTCCACTGAAGTGCTTCAGGCCTGATAGCATGACAGTCAGCCATCAATTTCTAATTACTGTGATTCATACGGATAATGTCTTTACCAGAAACTTGGATTGATGCAGTTAATTACTGTGACATTCACGTAAGCTGAATATTTGATGACCTTCCCCTTGATGATTTCCTTCACCTACTCGCACTCTTTCTGCTGATTAGGTTTAATAATTTGTGAATAACAGTCTTTCACAGATTAAATCCTTTCAGACCAACTCTAATCTTGAGGCAGCGTTGACTCTTACAAAGTTTGACATTTTAGATAAGACTGAAAAAATAATGAGCGAGTTTAGGTTTACGCCACACTCAGCAATATTCCAGCTACATGGCGACGGTCACTGAAAAAATATACAGTAAGGGAGAGTGCATTCTGTTGTGTCAGCATTCTGTTAGATGTGTGACCTGGAGGCTCTGACAAAAGTGGAATTAGTTTTACTGATGCAAGAATGTACTGAATGTTATTCCATGCAGTGGTGTGGATAGATATATGTAGTTTATTAATTAGGCTCGTTATAAGTTCATTCAACAATCCCATAATACTTCACCTTAAAGGAATGAATGCTTAAACAATAGCATTCAGGTAAAAAATATAACATGACTGATTTCAGTTTAGTTTAGTATTGATTGATTGATGGATTGATTGATTGATTGATTGGGTTTAACTTTACTTTGAACAACATCCAAGTCATATCACTGTATGTCAGCTTTAAATGGGAGAAACATTCAACTTGATGCATGTTTCAAGCTGAGCGATTGAGTTGGATTTAATGCTTCTTTAACACTATTCCAGTAATATTAATATCATTACTATTATGCTAACATTTGTATAGCACCGATATCCAGCTCAGCTGCTCAAGGGCGCTTTGATTTTCTCTCGATCATTGGATGTCAAACTCGTACGGAACATCATATTATCGATGTCAACTCCCTGAGGATCATACAACTCTTGCAGCCACTAGGCGCACTGAGTTACATCACCACATGGGAGGAAAACCTGATGTGGTTAAGTCTATATGTTTACCACCTTGGAGAAACCCATAAGCTTTATTACTTTGGTGAAACCCACAAGCTTTGTTACATGTACTTTAATGAATACCACAACATTGGGTTTGGTGCTGACAAAATCTAGGAAAATCCAGGGCGAAAAATATTTAAACCCACAAACGTTTTTGGTGTGCCCATGGAACACAATTCTGTACAGTGAACTGAAGAGTCCACAGTTAAGTATGACTGACTGACTGAGTTTGGTTTTACACCGCTTTTAGCAATATTCCAGCAACATCACGGCGGGGGACACCAGAAACAGTTAAGTATGAGATCAGAGAAGTTTGTATATGTATCACAGCATCTAATAGCATCACCTGATTTAATATTGAACAAAAATCAACAGAATTATCCTTTTTAATTAGTCATGCAAGTAGCTGCGTAAGTGGAAATACTATTTACACATACGAATCTGTTGGTGGTGTTTCTTCATGGAAAACATGTAATTTAGATAATAACAATTAAATAGTCATGCAGATAGTAATGCAGATAGGTAGCTGTATATTGGGAAATGTTATATTTACGCGTAAAAACAGTTGGTGGTTTTCTTCATACCAATTTGACTTTTATAATTAGATTAAATTTGAAACCTTAAAAAATAGGGGGGAAAACCATTATTCAACATCAAGTACAATGTTCAACGTCCTTGCCATAATGCTGGCTGAAAATTGCAGCAGGTCCAAGATTCAAATATCATAAGTGCAATGCTCAAGGACCCAGAACCCCACAATTTTGAACACTGTTAAACATGACGGAAAAGAATCATCCACAATATTTCAGGTACCACATATACTAGCTGTCAATTCAACACGATCTGTTTGTATGGAAACAGGAACTCTGACAATGGATCTACTTCAAGATGACAAATATACCAAGAATATACGGAGCTTGAGCTTGTACACCTGACTGTCAGGAATCAATGCTATGAGCAAAGTCTATTTCTGGAAAGGAGTGGTCTTGAAAAGGTACTGTGGTTAGGTGTTTTGTGAGTTAAAAGTATTCCCATCTGGATCGTACTACCCATATAGGAAACAACAATGGGATTTCACTAACAAGATCTGTAGCACCAGTTCATAAGTGGTTATTATTCTGAACCATAAGTAGGTGTATAAAAATACTGTGAAATACACATCCATCTATCAAAATTTAGAGTACATTTGCAGATTAGGTTATCTTGTTATAAGAATGATGATTCATAATTATTGCCACATTTCACTTGTTCGTATACACTTGTAAGGTGTGGGACTAACCTGACATCCATCAGTTCTATAGAATGGGACACTGTCTTGATAGTTGGTTATATAGAGAATACTAAACGATGTCCCGTTTAATACCATATTTATGAAACGAGTGAAAGCGAGTTAGATACCAATACCATTCACGAGTTTCATAAATATGGTATTAAACGGGACATCGTTTAGTACTTTATTTATTACTCACCCAAAATTAGCAAAATAACATCAAGCAAAGTACCTTTTTCCTAAAAATTCAACGAGTGTGATGACTCTCAGCTTTCCGCGAGTCGAGCAAGGTCTAATACTATCGTGACAGAGGTATTAGCATTGTGACATCATAACTGTAAACCACTTTGGCGTCATACGTACGACATCACACAATGTTAATCCACAATGTGTATTACACAATGTGTAATAACATTGTAAAATTATTAAACAGTGATATCTTCAACGGGCGAGTAATAAAAACACTGACTACACTGCAGAGTGACTGTAATCACAGGATTTGGAGGACAGTAGTGTATACAAACCAGTGAAGTACTGGTGATAATTTAAACTGACGATGTATTGTACTGATGGACTCGGGATCTGATGGCGTTTATGTCAATGTGAGATGTACCACATAAATGATATTCACAGATGTAGCAAGAATCCGCTCTTATACGACAATCTGAACAACAGCGACTTCATGCATAAAACACACGGCCACATTGAATAGTCAAACTGATTTTGTCAGTCTGAGATGTACCTCCTGCTTCTAACAAACACTGCTATACACCAACACTGACCTGAGATACAAACGCCTGTTTATAGGCTCTTCTCCCTAACAGGACAGCTTCTATGTTAAAGAATAACAACATTTATTCTAAGTGAGCAACAATTTAAACTAACATGCCATTTTCAGGTCAAAAAGATTTTAAGTAGTTTGGGAAGGAATTGTTTGTATTACACTGCATTGTCACTGTCATAATAACAAAGGGTAATAACTTCCTGGTACCCACATCTACATAGGAGCTCAGCAGCTGTTTACTAACACTGTTGGGTAAAACATCTTTAAGATATAATGAATTTAACAATGACATCCCATTGTCCTATTATTATTTTTAATTATTTTTGTATGTAATTTCTAATTTTGCAATCTTCCTAAGATTCTTGGGAAGTATTTTTTAAACAGTCTTGTTGACTGATATTGTTCCAGTCTCATTATTTTGGTTTATAACTTATAATATGGAATTTAAAATAGTTCCCCTTGGTTTTACATTTCAGATTTCATACACATGGATGAGTGTTAAAAATCTCACATCAAACCCTCAGACATATGTCCAACACACACTGTGCTAGTGTACATTGGCCAACAAATGTTTTTCAATACTTTCTTCTGTACTTTTGGATTAATGAGTTTAATCAGAAGTATTCAGTGGCTATATCATATTGATAGGATCATGTCATGATCTTGTATTGTCCATGTATGAAAACACATTGTCCAGTCAGTAACATAGCCCCATTGTGATCTGTGGACTTACCGGTAACATATACTGAGGGAACTAAATAAGGGATCACATGAAAGCACAAGTGTTCCTTTATTTTTTTCCAGGTTTCTTCACAAGTTGTGCGATACAAAGCTTGTGAATAAACTTGGAAAAAAATAAAGGAACACTTGTGCTTTCATGTGATCCCTTATTTTTTTACCTCAGTATAGTTATAAATATATGCAGCATCAAGGAAAAACCTTTGTGACCTAATTATGGCATGATTTTGCATTTGCTAGAAGCACCATTGTAACACAAAGTGACAAAACTGTCTACATCCTAGACCCTACTTTCTTTGAGCACTACCACATCTTCAATAACATCATCATACAATTCACCTGGGACACTCTCTGAACACTCCTCTGTAGTTGACACAGCACTGCCTCCGTTCTTCAGCACTTCTTTTTTACTATCTAGGCCATTTCCTAGCTCCTCCCCTCCTACTGAAATCACAGAGTTGCCATTGGGCACACTGTCATTGTCACCATTTTCTAGAAGCAAGGGGCTCCCCTTGCCTTCAACAAGCTCTGACAGAGTTCGGTTGAGACTCTCGGAGTCCTCCAAAGCTTCACTAACATCATCAGCTGAATCATCGTTGTAGAGACTGTCCCCAAGCAGGCCTCCATTCGGTGGTGAGAAAGTCATCTTCAGTTGCATCACCTGGACCATTACCAAAGAAAACAATCATCATTCCAGTTCTAGTGTAAGTGAGTGAGTTCGGTTTTACACTGCTTAGAGAAATATTCCAGTGACGAACTCCAGAAATGGGCTTCAAACATTGTACCACTGTGGGCAATCAAAACTGGGTCTTCGGCGTTACAAGATATAATTGATGACTATGACAAACCGGTGATTGATAACTTCTTTGAGTGGCATTTAGAGTGGGTGAGTGAGTGAGTTTAGTTTTATGCCGCTTTAGCAATATTCCAGCAATATCACGGCTGTGGACACCAGATATGGGCTTCACACATTGTACCCATGTGGGGAATCGAACCCGTGTCTTCAGTGTGATGAGCGAACGCTTGAACTACTAGACTACTAGGTGTCATTTAGAAATGGTGTGATGTACAAGGGGAAAAGTTCTATGGATATACAATTTATTTATTATTAATGTAACGATGTTTCAGTGTAGATGCTAAAACAGTTACTTGCTTGATAGTGGTGTTAATAATAAAGCATATTCACAGAAATTTCCCTGAAATTTCAGTGATTGGTATTATGAGCTACCTCAGATGCAACCAATGACCTGCATCAAACAAGACATCTGATCACCCTAATGACTTGTTTCATACATCCAGCATCGATAGCTTGGGACTTGTACTAACTCGGAATCCCAATGGGAAGGTGGGCGCAGTGTTCCCGCTGACATTTTTTACAGATTGACATTGTGACAAATGCCGGTCATTTGTAACTTTTACCGGTCAAGTGATCACGCTTTTCATTGTGCACGAGACCTTGCACCCCAACAACCAATCAGAAATGTAGAGGGTATCGCAATGCGTCACTGCCGCTATTTTTAGTCTGGGTTTTTCCCAAACTGCTATTTTTTATTTGACAACACCTCATGTCATTGTGAAAACGTAATCTTTTTCGAGGAGAAATAAAATTGACAGAGGTAGTTAGAAAATTTATTTTAAAATTTGCCAGACACAATGACTGACAGCCTTTGAAATTACCGGACATTCTAACTTTGTACTGGTCAAAGTCTGGTATATACCAGATAATGGAAACAACGGGACAGGTTCATGCTATGAACAAACACAGATATACAGCGGGGGGCTACAAGTGCATAAGATTTATCTATAGCAAAGAACATCATCAGCCATTCAGATACCTTCATACTACTATAGCGTTAGCAGCACTTCCTACAAGAAATGCTCCTTGTCTCACCTCGTCCTGCAAGTCAAAGATCTGGCTCTCCAGGTCCCCTGTGTCCTCTTCCCCGTGTAGCCGGCCTGCAGCCACCATCTCCTCCTTCTATACAGCCAACAGGTAACACTCAGGTATAGGAGATATAGCAGTGATTGATCAAAGAGGGTTGTGAGGACAATCACATCTCTCATGCAGCAAGCATCCTAATTATTCATAGTGCTTAAAATTACTTAGATCTTTGTTTTGTGTACACATCTGCTGATTGTATGCTATGTGGGCTGGGTCTAAAACAACTTTGAAAAGTACTTCAGAGTGAGTGAATATGGTTTTTAGCAATATTCTAGCAATATCACGGCGGGGACACCAGAAATGGGCTTGACATTGTACCCATGTGGGGAATTGAACCCTGGTCTTCGGCGTGGCGAGCGAATGCTTTAACCACCAGGCTCCAACACCGCCCCAAGTACTTCAGAACTGTGATGTGTCAGCTTGTGGCACAGCGACACCAGTGTTACAACTACCCTTGCTGAGGAATATGACAGAACTTTCACACGCAGTAACTTCATTGTCTGATATATGGGAAACTTGATTAATTTTCAGTCCAAATAACAGGTCTGGAGATCTGTACTAGGGCTGCAACGAATACACTATGTGGCGAATATGATACGTGTCATGAATATTGGGTAACGAATACGAATAATTATTCACGAATACAATATTGTAGTTAGGTGATTGATGTACAATATGGAATGTCCATGTTGACAGTGTTAATTTGTCACAGCAATAACCAGTGATCTCATGACACTCATATTTGGTATGTAATAGTTTTTCGACAGTACCATGTGCGGCCTTGGCAAACTCACATGATTTACGCTACTGCAAGACTAGTACATATTCAATTCTTGCATATCTCACTTTCCAAAAGTACACAAGGGTTCAAGTAAAACATGCTCCCTTAAAAACCTTAAATATTCATTAATATTCGGTTCTGGTGACCATGAATAATGAATTGAATTCATGAAGGGCTACGGTTCAATTCACCGAATATGCGAGTGAATCGTTACAGCCTTAATCTGTACTGATGAAAACACCATTAACAATGAACATTCACACAACACATTTCATCACCTATGACAGCAACGTGAATAGACTTTCTATTTCTTTTTTTCCCCATATTTCTAATATATTGTTGTTATTACCACAGTACAATCACACACATACCATACTATCTGACAAAGGAAAAGGAGGTCTTCATATGAACACAATATGGAAAACACTAACTGGCAACATTGCTGGAAACTAATTCAGTTTCTGTGGGCAAAATAACACGATAGCAATTGACCACACAGCGCTGCAACACAGACAACTAATCGGTACCAGTTGCTAGGCAGCTGGAGTTTAGCTCACCTGAATTTCAATGCTTGCTATTTTCTGTTTAAGTTCAGCTATCATAGAAGTGTTTTCTGCCTCTTTAATACGAGCCATCATTGACTCTTCTTTTTTCTGAAAGACATTTGTTGGGTTCTGTATAATGTCATCAAGAATTACTTCTATATATCAGAAATAATCTCTTCTTAATCACTGCTAAGTGATGCAACACATGCATGAAAATAAGTATACATAACAGAAGGTAAAATATTATTTGGTGGTGTTGGTGCTACTTCAGTCAGTTACCATGGATATTAAAACTATGTAAAGTCATACTTTACCAAGACAAAAATTATAATATACTGTATCTTAATAGCATGGAAATTATAACTTTACAGAATAATTCCATAACAGTTGCTCAACTGATAAACACATAATAATTTCAAAAACAGTTAACAGTCATAATAACTTCCTGTATAGATGCACAACTGAAGCAATTGAAAGCTTAGCAGAAATTAAATGTCATGCACAAAAATATCACAAAATATTATGGACTGGGGCATTCCAAATTATCTAAAAAAAAAACAATATTGTATAAACCAGAAATGTCTACTTACCCTAGACTCCATATCATCTATTTTACGTAAGAGCTCTTTAATAGTGGTTTTCATCTCCCGATCAGATTCCGAAGCTTCCTGAAGACGTGTTTTCAATAATTTGTTGTCTTCGTCCATTCGTCGAATTTGATTGGTACATATGTGGTTCTATAAAAGAACAGGCACACACATATAATTGCACATGTCTTAGAAGAAACATATCAGTGTTAAGTTTTGACTTACAATGAAGCAAATGTCAAGTAGCTCCCTAAGTCATGATTGAACCTTCTTAAACAATGCTGGGATTATCTCCCCTTATCTACAAATGGTGGTTAAAAATGCCTCATTGACATTTTGTTTATTGTTAAACGTTGCACTCAGCAAAATTACAGCTATGTGGCAGCGGTCCGTAAATAATCTGGACCAGAAAATCCAGTGATCAAGATCCTGAGCATTGATCTACACTGTTTGGATATGATTACATGTGTCAACCAAGTCAACGGACCTGACCACTCGATCCCAACCTGACCAACTGGCAGATGAGTGCAAGTATAATAGTAAAGCTGGGACAAAATGGGAAAAACTAATGCTTAGTATCTGAAATTACCCAAACAAATAAGTCCATTGAAATGGAAAAGGAACCCCAATGAGATATAAGATACTGACCCTACACTTCATTTAGAGATTCTGCATTACAGAAAGAGCTGGACAGAGGGTAAAATAACTTAGTTGAAGGACTGAAAGATGGATTAACTGAACAGTTGGTTGTGACTCACTTGTGTTTCAAGCTCCATGACCTTCTGCTTGGTTTCCTTGCTCTCTGCCAGAGCCTGGGCCTCCCTCACTTTGACTGTCATCAGCTCCTCCTGCAGGTGCTTGATCTCCTGCTTGCTGCTCTTCTCCTTCGGTGACGTCACACTGTTCTGCCTCTCCATGTACGTCTACAACAACAACACACAGGCTCAAGTCATGCCTGGCTTGCATACCAGGGGATAACAAGCATTGTCACTAAGGTGACATAATCCCCCGCCGCAAATTATCAAATCAAACTTAAAAAGTCATGAAAGGGAAGGTCGTAATTTAAGATGAAGTTAAATGTAAACAAAAGCATGACCAGTCAACTAGGGCTGCAATGAATACACTATGTGGCGAATATGATATGTATCATGCATTTTGGGTAACGAATACGAATGATTATTCACGAATATAATATTGTAGTTAGGTGATTGATGATTATGGAACGTCCATGTTGACAGTTTTGATTTGTCACAGCAATAACCAGTGATCTCATGACACTCAAATTTGGTATGTAATAGTTATAGTCGACAGTACCATGTGTGGCCTTGGCAAACTAACATGACTTGCACTTCTGCAATGCTAGTACATGTTCCATTCTTGCATATCTCACTTTCCAAAAGTACACAAGGGTTCAAGTAAAACATGCTCCCTTAAAAAAAATATTAAATATTCGTTAATATTCGGTTCTGGTGACCATGAATAACGAATTGAATTCATGAAGGGCTACGGTTCGATTCAGCGAATATGCGAGTGAATCGTTACAGCCTTACAGTCAACCTCTCTTAATATCTTGCTCCGTAGTTGTTCAAATGCACAAATATTTTCAAGACTCACTTTGACCTTGACATGAATGTCTTAGTGTATGAAATATGCAAAAATAGTAATAAAGAATTGATTATTGAAAAACATTCAAGGGAAGTTTTGAAAGTCTATGAAGAAAATCCAGTGAACTGTTCTTGAGATATCTCGCTGACAATCTTAACATGCAGTTTAAGATGCTGAAATCTTCAAAGTGTCTCTGTGACCTTGAAAAGTATGTGAAGGTCACCAAAATCGACTGGGCCCTGCACCTTCCCTAGATAAAGCTTGGTGTTGAATATGAAGAAAATCCAGAGAACGGTTCTTGAGATATCTCACTGATAAGGGTAAAACGTTAAGTCCCATTGTGACCTTGAAATGAAGGGCAAGGTCACCAAACCTGACTGGGACCTTTCTTTTACTGTGATGAACCTAGGTACCAAATTTGAAAAGAATCCAGTTAACAGTTCTTAAGATATTCCAATTTGTACGTAGCGTATGTACGTACGGACGGACGGGGCCTAATACTATATCCCCCGCTTCGCGCTAAACGCTCGACGGGGGATAATTATATGCATCATCAACTGGACAGCAGGGTTTGCTGAGAGTAGAGCAGCACTGGTCCAAAGAAGTGAATGAGTATGGTTTTATGCCGCTTATAGCAAGATTCCAGCAATATCACGGAAGGGGGCACCAGAAATGGGCTTCCCATATTGTACCGATGTGGGGAATCGTTCCTGGGCCTTCAGCGTGACGAGTGGACGCTTTAACCATTAGGCTATCCCACTGCCCCTGGTCCAAAGCAGACATGGGACAGTCGGCTGGGAATATCTCCACACTAAGGTTTGTTAATGTACTATTTGAAACAAGGGCCCCAGATTCTTTCCATTATTCTTCATTTCAAACACTGCTAAACATTCTCTATGATATGAGCTATGGTTACGATGTACCTGATTGTAATAATATGAAATCACCAACTGAGGTAAGAATATGCTCCTAAAACATCTGATCAAAACCAATAAAGTGTATCACCATTCTACATTATTACATTCGCCATATTTAACTCAACAAGAAAAAATAACCAATCAAACAGTTAAGCTTGCGTTTTATTTTGGACTAATCTAAGGCAAATTATTTGGAATTAGTTGCGAATTGTGTCAAAATACTTGCAAACATTATTGCAGACACTATTTTCACTGTCAAAATTAAAAAAATATCAGTTGTGTAGTTGAACAGGCAGGCAAGTCTTCCAAAGCCTAAAATTATTTTGCAATATTCGCTACATATTGTATTCATGTTGGGAATTGGACCCACACCTTCAACATGAAAAACAAATGATCTGGTGAGTGATTGAATTTAGTTTTACACCCCTCTCAGCAATATTCCAGCTATATGGCAGCGGTTTGTAAATAATCGAGTCTGGACCAGACATTCCAGGGATCAACAGTATGAGCATCGACCTACGATGACATGGATACGATGACATGGGTCAACCCACTCAGCGAGCCTGACCAACCGATCCCATTAGTCGCCTCTTACGACAAGCATGGGTTACTGAAGATCATTTCTAACCCGTATCTTCACGGGTTACAAATGATCTGGACTAGTCTACCCTGCTCCTTGTTACACTGAAGACCTCTAACCTCCCAATAGCTCTCAATCTCGTTGACTTTCTGGCGGAGCTCCTTCAAGGACAGGTTTGCCTCTGCTTCACGCAGCTTGACTGCTATCAGCTCCTCCTGAAGGTGTTGTACATCATTGCTGGGAGCTCGCTGCATCTTCAGGTTTGTCTGCAATGATCGAACATTACTAAAACATTTCTCCACAAAGAGAATCTAACTCTAACTGACAGGTACTGACAATAGTGAGTGAGTGAGTTGGGTTTTACACCGCATTTAGCAATATTCCAGCAATATAACGGTGGGGGACACCATAAATAGGCTTCACACATTGTACCCATGTGGGGAAAATCACAAATCTAGTTTCAAACATAGGCTCGCTACCCACCGTCACTGCATGTAGAACACAATGACATAGAAGAAATGACACGTCACCATGACAAAGTGATTTTTTGCCCTAGGGCATCGTATGAAAAATATGAACTCCGATATTTTCTTCCTCTTAGGTAGTAATCATTTGTTTTGCGACATACATCCTCCAGTTCCTTGATCTTGGTCTTGAGTTCCTTGATGAGCATGTTGGTCTCAGTCTCCTTGAGTCGCACTCCGATCAGCTCCTCCTGCAGCTGTTTTATGACGGTCTTGGCACTCTCGTCAGTCAGACACTCCGCCTCATCTATGCACTGAGTCTGAAAAACACACAGGACTCATACAGCACTTGCACTTTCATGTACTAATATATGTGAGCATTAGGTCAGCGACACACAGAAATATATAACAGGCTAGAAGTCAAGTAAAAATGGATCGTGATTATTCTTTTGCATCATTAGAGTAGTGAGTGAGTGAGTTTAGTTTTACGCCGCTTTTAGCAATATTCCAGCAATATCACGGCAGGGGACACAAGAAATGGGCTTCACTCATTGTACCCATGTGGGGATGCATTAACCACTAGGCTACCCCACCGTCCCGCACCATTAGTGTAGGAGAGTGAATGTTGCTGAAAGCCACAGTCAGCAATATTCCAGTTACACACAGTGGCTGTAAAAACTCAAACCGATGGTTGATATAATGAGAAACATCCCACAACACAAGATTTTGATGCCACTCAATAAATTAAGATTGTAAATCTAACAACTCATTCTAATTTAGTCATCTTTTACAACATGAAATAGTGTTGGATCAATAGAGTGTTTGACCAATCTTAACCCAGGTGCTCAAAGCATCAAGGAGAATGTAGATCTTGAATATAAAGAAATACTGACTCACTAGGCTTATTCATATGTTCAGAGAAAGGAACATCCTGTTTAATACATGACATGTCTCCTAGTAAGATTAATAATTTACTTCATAAAAGAGAAAATCATTTGCCTGGATTTACCGCAGTTCAAAATAATTGTCTACAGTTTAGCCTCTCCACATATCGTAACAGGCAGCATGCTATATAATACATTCTATATGAATCGTAAGATTAAGTATTACCGTTGAACTTCTGAAACACAAGAAACAAAATGACCCAGTCCCATGTTAGTATGTACATGCTAGAGGGGTTATGGTGCCGCCTTTATATTATGTTCTCTACCATTAATGAACATTTTACTGAATCCTATGGAAATTAGTAACAGATTTCTTAACTTTTCCTTCTCATTCAAATCGAAACATTTGATGGTTGTCAAAGCCCAGACATTATAAATTCTGATCTAACTGCATGAAAAATTAATTGACATTATCTGCTGTACTGATATGAAGCAATTTGTGTCACAGCCAGTTTCGACATTGGCTGTTAAGTGAGTGAGGTAGTTTTCTGTCACTTTGAACATTCTTTCTGTTACATCACGGCGTGTCAGTTGATGTCGGGGGAAGTATTGTAGGTCCTTGATGTTTACTGGGTGTGGTGAGGAAGAAACCTAGCCACATAATCACGCCACACTGTGACTTGAGCCCAAGGTCCTAATATCTTATTTGCATAAGGGACATAACTCTGCATAGCAATTTTCAGGTCAGAAAACAAGAACACCTGTGCACCCATAAAACAGGTATGGTATATTATCTTCACACAGCACATATAAACCCTTTTCTAAGTGACCTAAAGGGGTAATCTGTTTGATCTACCTCATCATGGGCCCCGTACAAGAAAGACTTGAGATGGATAACACCTTGATATTTCAAAAGGATATATTACATTAGCTGGCTCCATGCACTGATGTTGCATGTGATAATGTGCTGCCTTGGTCATGGTAGCCACATTGCACGACACTGGAATAATCCTTGACATTTTATACCATCAAGCAAGCAATTTCCAGAACCAATTACCTATATATTTGAAACACAATCCAATTTTCTTACTTCTTTTGTTGTCTTAAGATACACATTCATTAACTAAAGGCTAATTTGAAAAAGCATCACATAAAATCAGTCTGGTGTTTTTTCAGTAGAAATTCAGATATCCAGTGTACTGTAATATTAGTTTATACCATACAATACTGAATTGCAAATTCCTTACACTATCATCACGTTTTGCTTCTGCAAATATATTGAGCTCTTTGGGGCAAATGGGCCAGGCAGCTTTGCTCTTTTGGGGTCATGTTGGGCCACAGTAAAGTTATCTCTTTTATTCTATTAGGCCACTAACCTTTGACCTTTTGAGGTTCTATTACGCCACTAAACTAAGATCTTTTGAGGTTCTATTAGGCCACTAAACTAAGATCTTTTGGGGTTCTGTTAGGCCACTTAGACTTAGATCTTGAGAGGTTCTATTAGGCCACTAACCTTAGATCTTTTGGAGTTCTATTAGGCCACTAACCTTAGATCTTGTGAGGTTCTACTAGGCCACTAAACTTAGATCTCTTGGGGTTCTATTAGGCCACTAACCTTAGATCTTTTGGGGTTCTACTAGGCCACTAACCTTAGATCTTTTGGGGTTCTACTAGGCCACTAACCTTAGATCTTTTGGGGTTCTATTAGGCCACTAAACATAGATCTTTTGAGGTTGTGTTGGGCCAGTAACTAAGCTTTACCTGCCAGTTACAACAACATGAGGCACAGTGCATGTTAACTGAATGCACAGTATGTGGTATCATGATGATGTCAGGTCCACACACTTCAGACAGGACATCAAAAAGACAAGTCACTGTGATTATTGGGAATGACATCAGCAAGTTAGAACTGTTTTTGCATGAACATGTGCCTAACATCAGGACAGGCATGCAATTGTTCTCCTTGGTGTAATTAATATCAATTCAAAACTGCTTTTTGAGGTAATTAACCTCCATGTGTTTGACGCTAACATCAATCTGCTGCCAGGAGTCCAACATATTTACTTAAGGGCTTGTAAAATTAAAGAAATGCTGGTTACAATGGAGAATTTAAGTAATTTAAGTTTGTACAAAGTTTTGAAATAGGCATCAGATCAGCTTTAAACAAACCATCAACCTACACAACCCTGTGTGATATTATGGTAACATTTGGCTAGTTTCTCATTCTAAATGTTTACTGGTGTAATATCATTTAAAACCGTCTTTGGTCAGTCAGTGAGTGAGGGAATGAGTATGGTTTTATGTTATTTTTAGCAATATTCCAGCAATATCACAGCCGAGCACACCAGAAATGGGCTTCACACATTTTACCCAGGTTTGGAATCTCATGCAGCATGTTATTTTTGATGGGAGGTAGGTGGAGTTCTCAGGTTAATGTACTTGCAATTCTAATAAACAAAATAATAAAATGCATTTTATCTAACCTTAATGTCTTAATGGAAAATGTCTCAATCACATGACTGGTTTTCACGTATCAGATCAGATATCATGCTGAATCGTAACAACACTGAAATACATTTAGTATCATGCCTAGATGTATCATCACATCCCTACTCTTGACAGAGCTTCTGAATATTGACTTGTCACATCCTTCCTCTCTTTGGTCTCTCACAGATCTGAGTCCACCACTCACAACCAAGGTTATACAACTTGACTAAAGTAATGGTGTTAGGTCTAGTGCAAGTAGGGTGGATATGAAATCTGGTTACACAAGGAAAAATTATAAATAAATGGTTAACACCACACACTGGCTGATCATTAGTGTGAATGATGCTCGGAAATACATAAGTGTCACTATATATACAGCATTCTTAAAACTGACAGGAGGAAGAATATAACTATGAATACACCTTGGAAATATATACGTTTCATACGACACTCCATTACAAAAATACATTTAAGACCAAATGAAGATCTTATATTATTGGAGTGAGTATGGTTCTACACCACTTTTAGCAATGTTCCAGCAATATCATGGTGGGGGACACCATGAATGGGCTTCACACATTGTACCCATGTGGGGAATCGAACCTGGGCCTTTGGCATGATGAGTGAATGCTTCAAACACTAGGCTACCCCACTGCCCCTTATATTATTGGAATAAAACAAGCAACTCATTGACATGTAGCTGAAGACCTCAGTAGTACACATAAGATTACTCAGCTCATCCCCGTTTGTCCAGTGCATTATATCTCCACTGTTTTAATAACTACCCTGGACTCATTCTGCTGTATCTTTAAGTTTTGTACAGGCAGAAATGTCACCATCTCTATTTCTCCTACCATGGTAGAGAATTTTTCATGCTCATGAGTGATTTGATTAGACAGCTATTTTTAGCATTGTGCCATTCGATTTGGGCTAAAACTTCTTCTCACAACTGGGTATAGAGTATTTATAAGAATAGAGACAGAACCCACTGGACAATCAAAGATGTTCAGCTGCACCGGAGACAATACTGACAAGCGATATATCTGGCGGGATTTAAAGAGAAAACACTGCCACCTGGTGTTAACTGTGTCCAGTACCTGTACCCAGCAACCAGAGATGGATCACGTAGGCTCTTGCATGAATGATAGTGCAAGTTCTCCCAAAGATTTTTATTGTCTTGAAGGCAATGTGTTCACAGATGTGAGTGATGAATTGAAAATATTCAAAATGCTGTCCATGGATACTGATTCGTGGAAAAATCACTTATCTACTGAAATACAAATAAAGTGCAAATGTCATAAAACTGTCACAAGGCAAAAAAAATGGGGTTTGTGTTGATATTTTCAGTTTTATTCAATTTTATTGATAATGCACTCACACATATCTATTTGTTTCACAAAGTTTCCTTGCTTTCAGACATTAAATATTCATTTTGACTTTCATCACATGTGACCACTATTGCATTAAAGATGGCCATAAGTGATCTATCTCTGGTGTTTGCTCCCGAGGCCTGAAAAGAAGGTCCCTGTAAGCACACTGCCCCATCAACTGTTGCTAGCAGGGTCGAGCTAGAACCCACAGAAGTTAAAGTAGAACAAAAGTTCCTCAACTGAACATACCCAGTGTCCACAATTGAGGTCTTTGAAACCATTTATGCCCTAGAAGGTTGATTAAATAAATGTGAAAAACATAAAACAAAATTAATCACTTTACTGTAATTACATAACAGCATGCAACAGCCTACGACATGATGTAAATCAATTCCAAATGATTCCACTAAATACCATGTGGGAATAAACTGGAAATCTGTCATAATTTTACTACAATAAATAAATGCTACTATTATTGTAAGTTTTGTTAGTTCCATGCAAAGCATATTTGTTCAACCTATTAACATTTCAAGGAATTAAATGTGTTGCCAAAACGTATTGGATTTCCCTACACACATTTTTGACGTGATAAAAAAACACACAGAAAGCTTTAAAGAAAGACACAAAGTTTTAGAAGACACAGCAATGCCAGATGGGTAAAACAAATCCAGACAATAAGCATGCTTCAAAAACAGTTACAAAATATACATGTGACAGAATCTAAATTCAAAAGGCCCTGTCCCACAATGTAATCTTGAACCAACTGATACTATCAAGGATTTATGAGTCGACATTCAGCCTCAAGTCAGCATCAAATTTCAGTAAAAATTCCCAAATTGAACCTACACATTTGCCAATTCATGTTGATATAGTTGTATAACTGATGTTGTGACTTTCAACGACAAGGATTAAATTCTTAAAATAAATGAAAATAGAGGACTTAGTCTAATATTATTGTCTTGAATGCAATGTTACGACACAATATTATTTTTGAATCAAATAAGATTTTCTTCCTTTTTGAAAAAGGGCGCTAAGTCTTGAACTCAAAATAAATCCCTGACAACCACATAACTAATTACTAAAATCATTTTAAGAGACTGGGCAAAGATTTATTAGCATTGCCATACAGTCTTTGTCTACTACCTTGAACTTATCATGTACCATCATCTTTAGTAAATCTTTATGCTAATGTATGGACTCCTATCAGCAAAACTTACAATACGGAAAGAACTCTTTCTGGACTCAGGCTCGGGGGCTTATATCTCAAGTCACAGACTGACATCATCAACCAGCCAAAGCTTAGCTCTACAAGCTATATTACAATTGTTTCCATTCAAATCAAAAGTAGTTTCAAGTAGCATGCAGGCATAAACATTTCATTTAAGTTTCTATGACTACAACCTAGAGGCAATGCATGATATACTTACTCTTCTCTTAACTTCAGCAATGAGTATGTCAGCATCTTCTAGTTTCTTCTGAGCTTCATAGTGAGACTGTTTGAGAACGGAGAGCTCATTTTTCAGAGCATACATTTCCTCGGCCTCCTGGGCCCGAATGACCTGGTCCTGAATAAGTCGATCTGCCAGAGATGCAGACTCCTGAAAGGATGAGTTCATGTTGATATGAAAGACACGTAACTTCTGATATACTGCATGAACCATGTCACATCAATAGACAAAAATACCCTACTACATAGACAGTCTTCAGATCACTTAGGCTAACGTTCAACTTAAAGGTACAATGTCACGCATTTTTGACAATATTTTGACCTATATTTTATATATTGGGGCATATGCACTCACTTTAGCTTCCTATTGATGCAAGAAAAGACTTATTATCCCTTAAGACTTGCCTGAAATCGATAATTGAAACTTCAAGGTGAACAGCTTCCAAACAGATAACACTTGCCATATATGGAATGTAAACAATTGCTCCGTACATCGAAAACTGTCGAATGTGGTGTTGTCAGTGTTTGCCGAACTGGTTTCAATCACAAGTTGTGCATAGGATATTCGTAAAGAACGCTCTAAGGGACATAACTCTATGGGGTTCACTTGAAATAATGTTCAGCCAGTAGGGGGCAGGAGAGTTGATTTAATGCAACGTTGCATTAATTCAATCGAACTTTCTTATCTAAACATGTAAATCTATTTCGAATAAATAATATGGTAGCTTCCTTGAGGGCTGATAGTTAGTATTATTGAGAATGAATGAGAAAAATGCATTATGTACTTTTAGAGAACTGTCGTATTACATTGTGCCTTAACTTTTAGCAAAGTATGAACATATATGACATACCTTTTCAAGATTATCAATTCTTTGCCTGAGTAATCTATTTTCTGTTCTCAGCCTCTGTAACAAAAACAAAATACAGTTAAATGTCAATATCAATAGCTTCCATCACAGGTGCATCTGACCAGGTGAGTGAGTTTCTATATGGCGGTGGTCTGTAAATAATCAAGTCTGGACCAGACAATCCAGGGATCAACAGCATGAACATCAATCTACGCAACTGGGATACGATGACATGTGTCACCCCAGTCAGCGAGCCTGACCACCCGATCCCGTTAGTTGCCTCTTAAAACAAGCATGGGTTACTAAAGATCAATTCTAACCCAGATCTTCACGGGTTCATAGTCTAGAGAATTAGGTGGATTATAAATAATAATGATAATGCAAAAGGAAAAGGAACACATTCTGGTCATAGACAACAAATAATAATAACATCAATGTGGGTATTTGTATAGCGCTACAACCCAGATAGCATTCGGGCCAACCTCTGAATGCTATCTGGGAAAGACACTAGCCATCACTGCTCTATGCTATCCCTGGTAATATCTATTAGTGACTAGGGACAATATATTTACAGGCACAATGTTGTAACATTGGTTTCATTAACAGTTATTTCTAGATGTGTTTACCCTCAGTTCTATCTGTTCCTCATTTTCTTTGCTTTTCAAGGCAGTGTACTCCTTCTCCAGCCTGAAAACAAAGAGAAACACCAACATAACATCGAAAACATAACTTCTTGAATCCATGGCAAATATCAACACCAATACAAATAATGACAGTCAAAATATTCCATTTCAAATGCATCTATATAATTCCTGCATGAAAGACAAAGGGTCTTGGTCATAACCTTGAAACAGGAAGATGGAAGGTGTCCCTGGTTTCGAATGACATAGTAGCAAACCTCAATGACTATTCATTTCAAACACAAATATAACTTGTGCAAATTTTAAAGAATATTAATGTTTGTACACTTTACAACTCAGTCTTACAAGACTTACTAGAATTATACTGGAAAAAGAAGATGCAATAGTTTCCCAATACTATGACCTGAAGCAAGATTAAGTGACTAATTTGGGAAGTAGTGACTTGTCTCCAGTGTTAATTTTCTTCAAGTACAAGCTACAATCCAGAAGAACAGCAAGATATACGGATGTCAACTTCTTCATTGTGAATAACACAACGTTTTGGAGTGTATGTTGCTCCTTCATCAGGTCAATCTTGGCCTGATGAAGGAGCAATCATACACTCCAATATGTCATGTTATCATGAAGTCATGAAGCTCACATCCATATGTGTATCTTGCTTTCCTTATGCATTCCACCTCTTAATGCCCTTCAAAGATTTTACAAACCAGAACATTTTAGCAAATGTCCATGATGTGCTTAAGGTTACATATGAGATTATCAGATATGTTCAATCTCCCAAATTGACCTGATTCAAACACTCTCCTGGCTTAGAATCTGCTAAATATATTCCAAACGAAAGAAACTAATACCACTCACTGGTGACAAATAAAACACACACCCTTCTCACATAAATTGGCAGTTAAATTTATAAACTTCTTGGATGTGCAGAATATAAAGCAATATCTACACCTATAAAATTAAGACAAAAGAAACATTTAAAATTGTGAAGCTCCCCCAAAAGAACAAAACAGCCAGAGATCAGTCAAGTTATGGAGGTATAAATCAGCTATGTACCTGAACCAGAGGCGATTCATATTTCAAACTGATCAAAATGCTCCTGTCAACAGGATCGTGGACTAAGACAAGGAATAACACCATGTCACACTTAAGCCAAGATGATGTGTGGGGCTAGACACCAACTGTATCACTGTCTTCATACTCAGGGAACAGTCTGGGAAAACACAATGTCCCCCAAAAGACTACACACAGAAACAACACACTTAACCCTAATTAAAACCCTGATCTACAGGTGTCACTCAGGTATCAGCTAACACTTTGTTCTCAACCACCCAAGCTTAACCTGCTACAAATGTCATGAAGGAGTATTACTCTGTAGTTACAGGTAGCTGTTTTACTTCAGGTAGTACTTATCTAATTAGACATGTTAGACAAAGGTGTAATTACAGACTACGGATTAAGACGACATCCTGAGCTAGTTAGGAAGAGAATGTTTGTGTTGTGTATTATTTGGTTATAGAATCCTCTGTAGACAGGGATGTCAGCGACAATCAGGAGTAATGACCTAAACGAGGTATACCCTCCCTCATCCAATGGCTGGGACAATTAAGCTGTAATGGGAATAATCTCGTTTCACCTACTGTTAGTACTACAACAGTGCCATAGGGGTACTTTTTGGTCAGAAACAATCTTGTTTTTCAGGATACATTTTTTCAGGACATATTTGAAACAATTTCTTTTTTAAATATTACAATTGAGATTAGGTGCCTTACTCTGACAGTGTGGGTTTGAATCCTGGATGGGTCTCAACCCCAAAAAGTACTAGTGTCTGTACTTTACAGAGAAAGTGTGATCCAAAACGTTGCATTTGACCACTTTCTGATTGGCATTTTGTGTTCTTAACAAACTTACACATCGAACTACGTACATCATGGACACATCCAAATGAATTTCAACTTATGATTTGTTGGGGGATATGATTACAATATGTCATGGAGTGTCAAACTTAAATCCATGCATTGTTGCAATTTGCATGAGTTTGCATGACTTCAAGATTTGCAGGAAATTTCTTCACGCTCTCTAAGTTTTAAGACACCTAAAACTTTGAAAATTTAAATTTTTTAAACATCCTATAGTATTAGTCTGTGATAATGCTCAAGACAAATGACGTTGAAATGTTATTTATCAAATTAGTTAGGACACTATTTTATCATGAACAAAATGTTATTCAATTTTTTAGAAAAAACTAAGTGTATCTCATAAAAAGTCTGTGAACACTAAAACCTACCAGAAATGATATCAAATTTGAGCGAGAAATATAGTGAAGTTTTTAATAACGATTGAAATAAGTTGTTATGATTACTAATCACCAGCTTTATCACTTACTAGTAAAAAAGACTTGCACTAGATGTACTCTTTACATACATTCATATTCATTGACAGGACTGTAAACTGAATAATTATTATAAACTGTCAATTATTCTTACCAGTGTTATGTTTTTCAGTTCAATAATGCAATGCTAACATTCTCACAAATAACATCACAACAAACTGAGGATATTGAAAAATTGAAAAAAAATTAAAATTATTGTGTGAAAAAAAACTCTCATCATTTTTCTGGAAATTCTGGTTTCCTCCACCTCATCACAACAGGTCATGATCAGGTGACTATGAATTCACATCACACATAACAATACATTCCTAGAACCACATTCTATATCAATATGCTCCCGTTACCCTGCCGACCCCTTTATACTACATGCGATGAACTCAGGATGAAACTCACCAGTCAAATGTTCAACCAAGTACATGTTTAGCCAGCAAATATCTGTACATCATAGAAACCATTCAAGTTCTAACACTCTCACATTTCAGGCAAGGTCCTTTTTGAATGTTTCGCTAGTTTGTGAAAAAAAGTTGAAGTGGATTGTAAATAATCAAGCCTGGAGCAGACAATCCAGGGTTTGAAATCATGAAACGAAATAACTGAAATATACCAACATGCAACTAAGTCAAAAGACCCTATCTACTGAGTTGCCTCTACAACAAGCACTGGTTGTAAGTGACCAAGGACCTATTGTCTTATCCAGATTCCTAGTCTATCTCTCAGACCCTACAGAATAACTCAGAATGAATCCAACTTAAGTGAATGATTTCATAAGTCTAGATTGCCTCAGTTCTGTACTAGGGCATTATTCTGGTCTCTATTTGACTCCTGTTTTATTCTGTAGATACACATTTTTTACACCTTGGACAAAATGTTAGTGTACCTGATACCCCAGGAATGGAGCATGCTACGCTTGAGAGAGCCAGTAATCAGACTTATATGGCAGAGTACCCTTAGCTAACCCCCGGGTCAACATTGGCTATTCACCATTGTAACAACTGACGCAAGGCAGCAATACACCCTCAAGAGGAATTTGTAATCAGGAACCTTTTCTAAAGCCTACCAAAGATCAAACAGATTCTGTGTTCATATCTTCATTTGGATGGATCATCGAGTGAAGAATTCTCAACCTGTGTTCTTTTTCTGTATCATTACATGTGAATATTTTAGAATATTTTATGCCACAAGCACCTCTCTGATTAGTGACTGTTTATAACATAACTACCCACATTCCTCGGACTAAAAGCAGTGATTTATTCTTGGATTTCCAAATTAAGCACACGTGGCAAACAAAGCGAAAAAAATATATTGTTCATAAATGAGATGTTTTTTCAAAGTTCAGTTTTATTCTAAATTAGATAATGTAAAGTATGTTAGTCCTGTTATCAGTGAAACACAGGTCACCTCTACAAAGCAAGACTTCATAAATGGGGTTTCACACAATGCACAATTGTACAAACATATCCACTGCATCCCAAGGGACACACAGTAATATTTCTTGGACAGGCTACAGCATATCAAGAGCGATATCTGTTATTTCACCCATCAAGCACGACCATCATAAGCATGTCTGTCGATTTATTTCAGGCTCTAAAGTAATTATCTGAACATATGAACTTATATTACTTTACAGGACCTTGATATTTACTGCAAGAGCCCATAAAATTAATTATTGGGGGTCTCTGGACCTGAGGTAAAAATCGTGATATACACTGATTGAGATTATTCAATATATCCAACTAATCTCCATCTCAACTGTGGATTAATGGTTCATGTAATAATACTAGTTACTTGTTAGGAAAACCATTACTGCTTCCAGACTGTGAGAGTCTGGCTAGAGGTTGTTTCTAACATCACTGCAACCTAATAAATCATTTACAAAGGTGACATCATCCAGAATAGGTGGGCGATGTACCCACACATTCCTCAGTTTCCCTATATCCTGTACAAGAACCTGTGTGTACAACTCATGATATCTACCAAACTACAGCCACCAGTTGAATACCCTTTTGTGAAAACCAGGACCGTCACAAAAATAACACACACAGGCATCGCTGAATAAATATTTCATCAGATTGATTTTCTGGATGTAATATTTACATTTGACTATTTAGTGCCTGCAGTGTGACCTTCTTCCAGACTGGGGAGTTGACCTGTTTGCATTTAGACTGAGAAATGTCAAGTGTGGGTTTCTTATGAACACAAATGTCATCGCTAGCACCTGAAGAATTGATACGATCATCATCCCGTATTATAAATATAGGACATGGAAGTATTCATTATGTTTGTTCCGTTGACAATGAGTGACCAGTGATGCAGAAAGATAACAGACATCAACAAAACAACCCTGACGATGTTTACAGCCAGGACATTCAAGGAAGAATAATCAAAACTTACTCATCAAACTCGACAAAATCCATTTGTAATGGTAGGATAGTTATTCATCTTGTCCCCAGCTTCTAGCACTAGGAATCCCACCACTGGACAGGTAATGTTCCCCGACAATCATCTGTGTCTCCGATCCCATCGAGTCATGCTCTGTCGCAGACACACGTCACCTGATTACAGTTCACTTCAAGAAAATCTATACTGAGCCACGTAACCAACTCCAGGTGATCTGATTGAGATATGCACACTCAACATGCCATGAAACTTGCAGT